CTCTCATTACACACTCCCTGTACTCCAAATGCTATCTCACTCTATTTTACAAGGGATGCAAATAAGCAATTTAGCCGATGGGCTAACACTCTAATTGTGTAACTCATCAAAAATGCACTTTTCATTCATTGCATACATCATATAAATATAGTACAGTACTGTATATCTACAAAATTCTCTCTCTCTCTCTCTCTCTCTCTTTCTCTCTTTCTCTCTGCATCTTTTGATAGTTGTACTCTCTTTTTAGGCCTAATCATAAACGACATGTAACTGAATGTCAGTCCCGTATAATTCGTTTGATTTTTCATTGGGATTCACACGAGCGGTGAAAATAGAGGCATTCATTGAGAGCCCTGAATGGCACTACAGGTGGCCTTAAATTTTAACCATTGATTGACTGAAAACTTTAAACATACAAATACCTAAAATCACAGATCAATCGCTAACTTATGCATACTTTTCATCACTTATACTTTTTTAGGCCGATTTTAAAAGTATTTTGAGAGAGAGTTTTGGATGTTTTTCCTAAACACAAAAAAGTTTCTCGATTTCCAACACAAATCGCCTCTCAATTGAAAAGCATTAACACATTTACATAACTTTTGAAGTGCTTCTGACAAAACATTGTAACAAAAACTTTTCTATATATTATTGTAAAACACATTTGAATGCTTTAAATGCAAATCAATCTAACAATTCATGTAATCCTCGACTCAAATGATACGTTCAATAAAAATATCCGACAAAACAAATTTATCAAACGGTTACAAAAAAACTATTTTAATTGTTAATACAAATAGTTTTTATACTTTTGAGTAAAAACTATTTAATATATAACAAATATTTAGCAAATATTTCCAAAGATATTGATAAATGTAAAAATAAAAGTTCAGGATTATCATACCATTTAAATGAAAAGTTGGCTCATCTATGGCCACATCCATGTCATCGATATCTTCGTCATCGGATTCTTCATTATCGTTGGGTATCAGTTGTTCGGTGTCTTCTCTGTCATCTTCTGTCGGACTCTTAGCCCGAATTGTTGTCAATATATCTTTGATAAGAAATGAAGATTTTTTGGTCACATCCATGTCTATAACCACAAGGAGTATAGTATATGAATGATTGAGTGATGAATGTGTGTTTGATGTGAGGGATCAGTGGATGTTTTGATGGCCTCTTAAGCGACCCTCACTTACAACTCATGCCAATAAGTTTGATCCGTGTGTTTAACTTTTAGCCCACACCTCACCATCCGATTTGCGATCCTCTGGTTGGCTGACTGTATACGGCCTCTGCTCTCACTTGGAGTACAGACTATAGTCTATAGACTACAGACTATTGCCGAATATTTACAGTGTTATCACAGTTGAGGCTCAGGAGTGAGAGGAAAGCTTTAACCGTATATTGAGTGATGGTATGACTATATGATTGTTTTGTGTACAGAGAGAGAGAGAGAGAGAGAGAGAGAGAGAGAGATTTGTAGATATACAGTACTGTACTATATTTATATGATGTATGCAATGAATGAAAAGTGCATTTTTGATGAGTTACACAATTAGAGTGTTAGCCCATCGGCTAAATTGCTTATTTGCATCCCTTGTAATGCAATATAAGTTTTAATACAAAAGCTGCGATCAAATCCTTTATTTCACTCTTTTTCTAATATAATTTGCATTCATTTATACCTTTATAAGAGTGAAAATGTATAGCATTTATAAAAGCAAATAATGAGATGTGAATATAAAGAGGACTCCAAATAAAAGTCTTGTTTTTCTAAACTAATGCTTACTTTACACTAACATAAGGTGTTAAGGCTTTGGTATGTTTTTGAATACAAAAGTGAGTTAACGCTTACCGATGAATACAGTTTTGTCTAAATGCGAAACAAATCATTATTTGTAACACAAAATTGTGTCTCTATTTAGAGGAAATGTTATGTAAATACGATTTGCAGGCAATGATGAAGTGTTGGCCCTCATGTTATTCACTGGTAATTGTCTCACAAATCTAATGATTCTCATAGCTCTCTCTCTCTCTCTCTCTCTCTCTCTCTCTCTGTACACAAAACAATCATATAGTCATACCATCACTCAATATACGGTTAAAGCTTTCCTCTCACTCCTGAGCCTCAACTGTGATAACACTGTAATTCTCTCTCTCTCTCTCTCTCTCTCTCTCTCTCTCAACACTTTTGATTGTGATTTGCGGCACAGAATAGAGGAGTGGATGCGATGATAGGAATAGGAGTCACACAAGAATCACAACAACGCTATAGTTTTATATAAGAGTTGTTAAGTGAGAGAGAAAATTGTGGCTTTAATATGAAACTCATTTGAAGCCAAATCAAACATTTGCCGCAAAAACATTACCAAAACATTATAAGACAGTTATTACCGTTTGGCCCAATCATCGCAACAAATTATCGCATCAATGAGACTGTACTCAACATACAAGTAGTAGAGGGAGGATATAGAGTGAGATAGCATTTGGAGTACAGGGAGTGTGTAATGAGAGGGCAGAGGGAGAGGAACGGTAGGACTGGAGCGGCTCTCATCACTAGACAAAGCGCTTCAATAAATTGGCTCAAAGTATGGCTCAAACTATGGCAAAGTTAAGTGGAAAAAGAGCTAACATTTGGGATGAGAGCAAAGAGTGTGTACTTGTGTTTAGTGGTCAACCTATCCATCGATTCAACGCTAATAACCAATTCATTGAATAGATTGAGAGCTCATATCCTCTTTCTATCTTCAAATTAATTTACTATTCGTTTTGTCCAAAAGAGAGATATTATCAAAACTCTATTGAAATTACATGAGAATCAAAAGAGATAAAAATATAGTTTTGATTGTATATTACGAGACACTCGACTGGGTTTGGGTTAAAGTTTAGGGGGAACTTCATCCTCGACTCGACTCGAGTGCCAATTATTCAATTTGAAAACTATGAATGAATAATAAGCTGTTTTGTTATACATTATTATAGACATCAAACAGAGCCCTAAAGCCAATCAATTAACCAGAAAATGTATATTTTATATAAAAAGCAAAAAATTATTTCAATCCACAAGTTTTTCTTGGAAACTATTTGTTTGACAAATTAACTCTGAGTTTACTATAATATTATATTAATATTATATTTTATATTATTATTAATATAAAAAGCAATTCATTAGCAAAAGTGTTAACGTTTTTGTTGAGAACCGTAGAGAATAGACCCATTATAATAGGTTTTGATATAAATTATATATACATTTGTGAAAACAAAACATTAAACATAATTAGAGATAATATTCAGTAAATTAATGATTATTTTCTAATTATGTTTGAAAAATATACACATTATATAGTGTAAGAGAAGTGATGCAGTTTACTGAATGCAACTGGATACATTTGCAGGCAATATAATAATAGAATTGACACATTTATCGTTATTTCTTTCTAATCAAATTAATGAATGAGTTATAATAAAAATGTGATTAATTTGTATTATTCTTAAAATGTTAATAATCTTTAAAAAAGTGAATTCAAAATAATGAATTATAAGTTAGAATACAGTAGTCTTTACAATATTCTGTTATGTATGCATTATTGAGAGATATTTTCAAACATAAGTTAAATAAGTAAAAAATTGTGTATATTATTTGATATCCATTTGATAGGATTGGATACTCATTGGAATATTGGTGACTAAAAGGTTAAATTAAGTTTTAAAAAAGCTTTTTAGGATAAATTAACCTATGCCATATACCCGCAATTGATGCACAACATATTTGTTGTAAGAAACAATGTAATTTCAAATTTAAGCCAATCAAGTGTTTGACAAAAATATTTATCAATTATAACAATATTATTATTCTTCGTTTCCTAAACTCTTAATTCAATTATAAATCTCGTTATTTTCATCGCATTGCAAATCATTATGAATATAATGTGATCTTTTTATCTCCTAAAGCTATCGACACAATCATAATATTAATATACATCTAAAAATCAGTTCAAGATTTTTAAAATTATTTCTACTTCTTTGAAAGCATTGTTATTATATCATCTCTGCATTACTACACTATATCTACTCGAAATATTTATTTATCACAACATTTATTGAGAAATCGATTAAACGTTTTATTAGCTTTTTGTGACTATTTTTATTTAATAAGAAAACATGCATTTCTTATGTTAACGATTATCTAAATTTTAATCTTATGAAATAATAACCGAAAACAATGCAAATTAAATATTAATAGTAAACATTATTTTATTAGTGTTTGTCTTTTACTGAAAAACAATTTTTTTAAAATCAAATAAAGCACTTATTATTAGCGAAATTACAGAATATTTACAAATTCTTGTATTATTTATCTATTTTAATAAATTTTTAATTGATTTTTGAAATTGTACAATTAATAATACTGTACATGTATGTTTAGTGTAAATGTGTAATACAGTACTCCGTATCGACTATTATATTGTTGTCCTATTTTTATTGAAATGTATCTAAAATGTTAAGTTAAAACTTGACATTTGAGCATGGTTATAAACAATATTACTGTTAGTCCCATACATTAACATTATTGTAGCCTTACCCATTGACTAGTAGTATGGTTAAGGTAATATTAATAAAATTCTTGGTGATCAACCATAATAAGTTATTCTGATTAGCATTTTAACACATATTGCAGGTAAAATGTACTTTATAGTGTGCATGGTCAGATTATATTTCTGATATATTACGGTTAATTGTATAAACCTTCGAATCGTTTTAAACCTTAAATATTCCTCAACTCTTAATGTATAGCAAAATGTGTTTAATTTTAAACTAAAAATGAATGCATTTTGAGGTTCAGTCATATTCTGGAAATGTTTTAAATCCTAAATTATCCTCAACTATGACTGTATAAGTGTTTGATTTTAAATACAGACAGTTTACTACAGTATATTGAGATTGATCCAGGGCCAATCATGTTCAGTGAAAGACCATAATCTTTAATAATACGACAATATTATGATAAGAAAGAGAACAAATTTTATTTAATATATTAAATAATTTATTACAATAATTATGCAAATGTTTTGTCAGAGAATATGTATAATAGAAAAAAATCTTTGAAACAAACAAAAAAATTGTAATCAAAATGTATATAATATTAACTAAATTAATAATATTTTCTATAATATGTGCATAAAATAGTGTCTATTTTTCTTAAATAAAAAACTTTTAAAAATTGATTTTCATTATTAAATAAAAAATACATAAAAACAAGAAACAAAGCAAAAACAAACAATACATCGCTAGAGCCCACAGCCCAGGGAAGGGGTTATTATTATTGTGGTTGTAGTTGTGGTGGTGTAGGCCTGGGATGTGTTGTCAATGCCTTTCCTTCATCGGCGCAAAAACACTTTTGAATCGGTTTTAATCGTAGCCCTAATTATATAATGAGTATTGCTTTCACTCGATCTTTATGTATATATTTTCGAGGGCTTATGTATATCACAGTCTCGTAAACTTTTTTCCGTTTCATTTTCAATTAACAAATATATTCAATAAAATCACTGATTATTTTCAAATACATAATTTTTTAAAATGATATTCTCGTCAACCAAATAATTCAATGATTCAATTTGTATGAATGAATAACAGTTTAAATAGATTTGTTTTACGATAAATAAAAACGTCGTTTTGCTAACAAAATACTTATTAAATATCAAACACAATGTCGTTGTTGTCGTACAATAAGAAGTCCTTTTTTCGGTGATTCTGTATATTTCCGGTCCACACATGTATTCCGCGAGAGTTATAGAGAAGTAATAAATAGTCAAATAGTTGTGTAGTATTTATGATGTGTTTTAATCGCAATTTGTTGTAAACGTATGCGTTATCCTTCTGGCCATTGTGTGTATGTCATCACCGGCTGATCCGTTTTGTAATGAACTCAACTTCTTGTTGGTCACCTCCAGGCGAAACATCTCCGACTGGAGTTCCGCCATCCGGTCCTGTAATTCGAGCACATTCTCCGGTTCGCGACCGCTTTCGTTCAGTTTTGTGATCGTCAGGTGTTCTTCAATCTGATCCACAAAATCAATTCAATCATAAGATTATCATTCGTGCGATTAGTCGTTAAACAAAACAAAATGCAAACATACTTTGGCTTCAAGTGATGAGATTTTGTGTTTGAGTTCAGCGACGATCTGTGTTTGCTCTAACTCTTTGATCCGATTCATCATTTGCTGCTCTTTAATCTGGAAGTCGAGGTCGGCGTACCGTCTCTTCTCGGCGTTCAACGCACTCACTGTTTGTCTCTCCTTTTCAGTCAACTCTTCGCACGTGTCCTTCAATTTGTTGGTCTCGTCGGCCTGTCGTCTGATCTGATTGATGGACACCTGATTCTGTGTCTCCAATTCCATCAACTTTTGACGCAATTCTTTGAGTTCTGCGATGGCTTCGGCCTCCCGGAGCTTTGCGCCCATCAATTCGTTCTTCAGTTTATTGATTTCTGCCGAATGATCGGTACGTTTCATAGCATTGCCCAACATTTTCATTGGACTCGATGTGACCGACAGTGAGGACGGATTGGAACCGTTGTTACCCTCAAGACTATTGGGCTGCGAATTGTTAGTGAGAGACGAGTCGTTGCTGCCGTGGCTTTGAGACATGTGTTCGGTCCACATCTGCTGCAGATCTGTTATCTTTTGGCGCAACTCTTTCATCGATAGGTTCGCCTCCGCCTCCCGGAGCTTAACGGCGATCAACTCCTCCTGGAGTTGTGCCACCGCGTGATCGGGAGGTAATTCACGCAAACGATTGTTGATTTCCTCCAATTCGTTGATCCGTTCCCTCAATACTTTCATCTCTTCGTTATTCTCGGCTTCTCTGAGTTTAACGGCAATCAGCTCTTCCTGTAAGGACTCAATCAACTGTTGATTCTCTTGCGATTCGAGCGATGAGTTAATGCTATTGGTTTCCTTCATTTCGGTGATGGTATGCAACGCCTTCTCCAACTCGTTCTTCGCCTCCAACTCCTGCTGACGAATGGCCGCCAATTCACGTTTGATCACAAAGTTGTCCTCCGCCTCCTGTGCCCGACAGACCTGTCCCTGAATCAGTTTGTCCGCCAATTCTGCCGATTCGTGCTCTAAGTTCTCGATTCGCTGTCTAAGCAATCGATTCTCAGTTCTTAATCTCTGTAATCATAAAATACATTATTAATGATATAATAAACCTGTAAAACATATCTATACTTACTCTCAACTCAACCAATTCTTCCTGTTCTTTAGCTTTTACTGTTTGATAATCTTTGGCTAATCTATTGATTAAAGAAAAACGGATTAAAATTGAAACATTAAAAGACAATTGCAATACTTTTTCATCTTCTTTTGGTCGTATTTCACTTGAACGCAGAGATTCACCAAATAGTCGGGATCGGTCTCACACTTGGATGGCATCTCCTTCTGGAAGTACCTCAAGAGACCCTCCATATCGAGACGAAGCAAGTCTTCTTTGCATAACAACAATATAGCGATAGAAATGCGAAAAATCATTTCGATTCCGTCGTAGAGAAAGAGATCCAAAACCCGATACGCGATGTGAAGGGGAAGGCATGAAGTGAAGAGTGTGAGGAACCAACTGCTGGCATACATACTCGTGTGATAGTTCTGCGACTGGAAGTGCATAAACAGTTCCGGTAGAAGTTCCTATCAATAATCAAAACACATAAACATTGTTAGATTTGTGGCACAAAACTATATGATCTTCAAAAATACAATAAGACATGAAGACATGTGGCGCTCACCTGAACCATACATTCCAATTGATAGATACAAAGACCGAGTTCAGCCATTGTCGGCTTATACATCTCCCGGAGCCGGTAGTCTTGCATAAGACATGTGAATACAGCGAAGGCGTCCTCTTCAGGCATATTGAGCAGAAGGACGCCCACCAGAAAAGCGCTGCCCTGACAGTAGCCGACTTCGCTGTCGTGTATTGAATACGCTTTCATGACATTGAAGAGGCCCTCCTGTCCGGGAGAGCCCTTCTCTTTGAAAAAGTCGTGTTCGGGATAAGTGCGAGCGATGTCTCTCTTAATCACTTTCTCGCAGACAGACGTCTGGCGCAAGAAATCGCTGTATTGGTCGCGGACGGAACAACTCTGAGCGCTGCATAACAACTGCCACACCATTCCTCGTAAGTGATGGGGAATGCCTTTGCGGACCAATTCCTATACGAATCACAAACAATAATTAAATTAAAATCAACTGAATTTTTTAATTGCCAAAAATTTAGTGCCAATACCTGTAATGTCTTATTCTTTTTGGTTTGATTGTTCCACTCGTTAATCAGTTGTCCCCATATCTGCCAGACATCTCGACCGTTGGACAGGTCCTGATCGTTGGACTCGGAATTCATTTGCGAGATCTCCGACACCTGACTCGTGTCCGACGAGCGCCGCGAATGACCGCAATTTGATTGAAGCGAATTCATACACTTCACGTCGGTTTCAATTAGTCTGCAAACAAAATGAAACACAACTTTAGTTCACAATTCGGGCATTTTTTTCATTCAAATGTCGTGAAACCCTTTTTTCGAAATAATAGTGTTTAATATAAACAAAACGTCAGTCTATTGTCGGCATTAAAAACTCTATTATTCTTCTAAATAAAAGACATACTCTTTAGGCACAGATAGGCATTGAGTGTTGAATGAATTATTGTTATAATCGCACATAACTGGTACTCCGCGTCAATGATTTCAAACAATTTTCTCTAACCTATTGTTTATTTCCCCGGAAGACAATGTTTGAGTGACAATCGTGTTTCACTAGTTTTTTCAATTGCCCACCTATTCATGGCTCCACTTTTTAGATTTCATTATGTATTTAAGTCTACGGTATGTTAAATATGGGGAAACATTTAACTAACAACTAATGAATGAATGGAATTAATTAAATATAACCATTAAAATTACTTAAAAGTGAAATTAAAACAAAAAACAGATGTGTCTATTCAACAGCGCTTTCGTTTTACAGTGTTATAAATTACAGACAATTTATTACACAATTATTTTAGACATAACTACCGTTTAGTTTGTAGTTTTTATACAGTTATGTGCGAATTACCACACCTTAACCTAACTGTCCATTTATTTATTATACAATGTATGTATCATTTATAGCAAAATCGCTCACCGATTCTGTTCTTCAAGTTTGGCCAAAAGCTGTAATTCCTCGTCAGATAAGACAGATTGCGGACAAACGGTATTATTATTGCCATTCGTGACAATCGGCTCATTATTATTGGTTAATGATTTTCGTTGTCCAGACATTATTCCCTTTAATTGTTTGCCATTCAACCGATTGTCTAATGCATAAAATAGTGAATTGTTGGCCGCGTTTATTGAATTTGTTGTTTCATTTCCATCTCTGAAAAAAGTCGTGAGAAAAGAGACAAAAATTATATTAAGTTTGAAATCCAAGAAAACAATTGATTTCAAATGTGTGTGTGTGAGAGAGAGAGAGAGAGAGAGAGAGAGAGA